ATAAAATAAAATAAAATAAAATAAAATAAAATAAAATAAAATAAAATGCAAAAGGACAAAGTCAAATAGATGGAACCAGACTGAAGAGCATAATTTCCTATTGTGAACATGAAGCGAACAGCAGATGTCAGCTTGCTACATTTTGCTTGGCCTGACCTGATTGGGGTTAACTTAAAAGAAATAAATAAAAAAAAAAACAAAGAACAACACAGTACGTGTTTCTCTTACAAATGAACTTAGTGTATCCTTCTCAATCATGGTCTGCACTTTGTGGCTTCTTGTGAAATTATCATTAGTGGAAACTAATTCTACAATTTGGGGCATCTAGAAGTCCCGACGGTATTAGAAAATGAAGCTCCTTTCTTTCCTCACACTGAAAATGGCATGATTTTCTTTTAAGTAACAGATGGAAAAGTGATAACCTTCTCTCACTTTAATATTTGAGAAGCAGTCTGAACTCCCCTGCGGCATTATAAGTATTCTCCTCCTAGGTGTAAATGCCACAAGATGGTTTCCATGATAGGTGAGTAGAGTAAGCTGCTTTTTGCTCTTGCGTGATGCAAAGTAGCTAATTGCCTCTTCTTTTTGAAGATTCTTGTGGCAAGAGGTCTCACATCCCAGCTCTGTTCTCTCCTCCCCCTCCTCCTACCCTTTGTCCTCCCTTTCTCCTCTGCTTCCTCTATCTTGGACCTCAGAGCTGTGACTTCTTTATCCATACGAGTGTTGGCAAATCTATACACGCATGAGGACACGCGTGCGCGCACACACACACGCAAGCACAACTATACACCTTGTCAGGAGGGTCACAGGCCTTCCGAAACCCATTTACACACTGAGGCATTCAAAAACTGGCTTGACTATTTAAATATAGCACTGCTTGCTGTGCAGTGTTTTCTTCAGACTTAGATCCCTGCCCTCCTTACTCCTTTACTGCAATACCTCAGAGGTTGAGGGCCATCCAGTTAAATGTTTTCAAGATCTCACGATATTAAGAATGAAAGGTAAAAAAGCAGATTACAAAAATTGTGCTATTTTATATACTTGATATATGTATTTACATATATTTCATTTGATGTAAATGCTTAGAGTAAAAAATTAATGTGGAGAAATTGGGATGCAATAAGATTGTCTTACAGGACTTATGAAACATTAATTCACTGGGTTCAGTTGATGGGATTCAGTAACAGCACATGACTTTAAAGCTGGGTGTTCAGTGTCTTCCTTCAAATAGAGTATCCCATCATGGCGATGTGGACATCACCACATTTTTTTTGTAAATTAAATGTGAGACTTTTGTTGGTTGTGAGGTGTGGGTCAAAAGCCCTATGAAAGGATCGCCCCTTCTACCCCACTTCCATTGCTCAGGCATCTTATTTTCCATCCTTTGAAAGAGGTTTATTATTCAATTGGTTGAATTATTTTGCTGATCTTCATATCTTTTTTCCAAAGTGGAGGTCCTATAAGAGCACAGTCCAAGGTTATAGTCGGCTGCGATTTTCTGTAAGATTGTGGGAAAAAAATCATTTAAATTGGGGGTGGGGTCAGGTGGGACTTGGAAAGCTATTAGATTTACCTGACAAGGTTAGTTGTAATGGCTCTTCAGAAAATATCAAAATGTGGAGAACTTTTTGGAGAGCCTACACTTTCCACTCCATTGACCTTACCTAATTTTGTGTGAAAATTGCATTTTGTTCACTGGTTGGTGAATCTCTGTAGTGTCACCCTCAGAACAGAAAGGAGTGTTGAGGGGGAGAACACACAGTTATTAAAGGGACTGCGCCACCACGTGGACAAGCGTAAAGCTACTGCTTGGAGATAGAAGGACTGAGCCTTGCCTTCTATGTAGGAACTGAACATTAAACAATGTCCTTTCTCTCTCTCTCTCTCTTTCTCTCTCTCTCTCACACACACAGCTGATGCCCTGCAGCTCTGTGTGTGCCCTTTGTAAAAATGCTCATTGTTTCCTCAGCTCTACGTAAATACTAATGCCTTCCAAGGCCAGCCTGCCAACGGCTATTAAAACCTTTTTCTCTCATTCTAATAATACACTTAGAGATGATTGGTAATAAAAACTCTCTTCAAGGCTTCTGCCTCCCCCCCCCCAATGGAGATCAAAGAAGCATGCTGTGAGAGTCAGTCCAAAAGAAAAGACTTCCAGCAGCAAGGCGCGTGGTGTGACAAAAAATAATGACAATTATGATGTTCAAAGGAATTACGGAGAAATCGCACAGTAAAACTTCTTTATTATGCATTTCAAGGGCTGGATGTATTTACTTTATTATGTGAAGAAGGGTTAGATTACGGACGCAAAGCGACAGGAAGGCAGAATTTCTTCGTCTGCTACAGGAAGTAGGCTGCAATTAAAACTTCGGAGGTTCGATTTATTTTGGTTACTCCAATTCTAAATCACACTTCACTATATTAACTAAAAATCTCGATTTCTCTGGAAGCAGAGCTCAATCTAGGTAATGAAAGCTGAGGGTTGGTTAGGTATGTATGTGGGTCTTATACACATGTTTATTGTCTTAGTGCTCATTAGAAATAGGGCTGTACTTTCTTCCCTTCTAATCAGTGACTAATGAGAGAAATAATCCTGAACCAATAGGACATAGAAATTTTGCTAAGAGGGAAGAGAACTTGTTCTCCTGTAAACTTTACTCTTAAAATTTTGGTTCTTGGTTTATTGATCATTTTCACTGTAACACAAAAGAATTGCAGGAAGAGTCATTTAAGATCATGTTCAGGAGTCAAAAATTCCTCAAGCCAAAACTCCAGTCTCTGCCAAATAACCTTTTTGAGGAAACTAAAAAAAATTATCTCCCCTCATCACCATATTTCAATGGATAGTGACTTCAGTTTAAGAATTTCCAAGAAACCACATTATAATTTTAAAAGTAATTACCTAAGGAATTACTGTCGACTTCCAATTACTGTCTGTTATATATATATATATATATATATATTTATATATATATATATATATGACAAACTGGACATATCTGCCTTCCATGTTTTTGTATACCATCTTCAGAATGACTTGGAGGAAGTGAAATGAAAGCTATGTTCACACAAAAACATTTAAGTGAGTGTTTATAGTCAGCTTTATTCATAATTGCTTCAAACTGGAAATGTTCCAAATGTCTCTTAGCTGGGGAATGGGCAAACAGACTGGGGGACCTCTGTACAGCGGAATACTATTCATCCACCAAGAGCAACAGATGAACAGATGACGGACGAATTGGCAACATGGGTGAATCTCAAAAGCACTATGCTTTTAGTGAAAGAAGCCAGACTCAAAACGCTACATTACATATGATTCCTTTTGTATATTCTTGTGAAGTAAAACTATATGGACAGAAAAAGTATCAGTGGTGGTTAGGGGATTGGTTTCACTGCAAAAGGAAATGGGGACATTTTTCAAGATGGTGATCTGTTCTGGACTGTCTTGGCACTTACACAACCGCATGCGTGTGTCAAAGCTTGCACGGCCAAATCCTACCATATGTTAATTACACCTCACTAAGAACAATAACTTGTGAAATCCATTATTCTTATGGCTAATTTGCCATCTTCACAAACATGAAAAATGCCCCTTTTCTTTAACTTTGTAAAGTAGTTTGCCAAATGGGAGAAATAAAAGGATATTTTCTCTTTCTAACTAAAATGAAATGTCAAAGCTTTGGTGATGATATTAGAATTCTAATTTTTTTTTTTTTTTTTTTTTTTTTTTAATTCTAGATGGAAGCTATATCCACGGATGCTCCGGAATGTTGCCGAGGTAGACCTGTCGACTTCCATTTTGGGGCAGAGGGTCAGCATGCCAATATGCGCTGGAGCTACTGCCATGCAGTGCATGGCTCATGAGGATGGGGAGCTTGCAACTGTGCGAGGTAGGAAGAGAGTCTCACCCAAAGGGACAGAAGAGGACTAACATTTAGTGACTTCTTTCTCTGTATGCATCAAGCAAACACTTCCCTGGATATTTTTACACTCACAAAAATTAAACTCATTGACGCTGCCATCCAAATACCTGTTCTTGCACATTCTCCTCCTCTAGGACTCTAGGCAAGATACTCTTGGTGCCTCAGTTTTATCAACTATAAAGTGGGGATAAAAATGGTACCCATCTCCTTGAGTGACTGTCAGGATTAAATGAGTTCACACATATAAAGTGCTTAAAATAGTGCCTTGCACAGAGTGGTGGTTCAATAGCTTTTAGTTATATTACATGTATTAATATCCACATTTCAGAAAATGGAGGTCTGAGAAATTGACTCCCTCATGGTCATACAGCTTGGTAGTGGCCAAAATGGGATTCAACCTCATAGCTACCTGATTTCAAAGCCCTTCCTGCTTCCCCAAACCACTTGATTCTCTCAAGGAAACAGCAGATGCAGAGACCCGGTTGGTTGAGTTTTCTGTCATGGTTTGGGACCACTATTCTGTTTTATGAATGGGTTATATTCCCAATAGAGTATTTCTGCCTTACGAGAGAGAGATGAGAAATTCAAATATGATGTAAAGAAATTCCTTATTAGGGCTAATTTATTAACTTGCCAGTCCCCTAGCAACTACGAACATTTGAAAAGGTATGCACAGTGATAAATCTCCCCACTCTGCTTCAGAAACTCATATAAAAGTTGGTAATGAATTCATCTGACTTCTTTTGATGCTAAGCAGGGAAGGAAATTCAGGTCCAAAGAGCAGGAACTAAATACTATTTTAAAGCATTTTAGTTCAAAGTATCACAGATCTTATGGATTTACTTCCCTTCTTGAAATGTCTGCCACAGAATTCTGCCAGGGATATCAGCATGACCCAGTGGTTGTGCTGGACAGACTTAGGTTAGAGTCTAGAACTTTTTTAATTCTAGGACCACACACAGAGAAGTGGTCTTGGGGCCCCAGCCATTTGTCTATGGTAATCCTGAAATACGGGCAGGGAGAAGGGGAAAAGAAGAAGGAAACCAGTATCTTTCCATTTACAGTTGGGGTGAGAGAGGCCTTCCCAAGAATTCCATAGATAACAACCATTAAAACAAAAGCCAACAGGGCACCTGGGTGGCTCAGTTGGTTAAGCGACTGCCTTGAGCTCAGGTCATGATCCCAGGGTCCTGGGATCGAGCCCCGCATCAGGCTCCCTGCTCAGCGGGAAGCCTGCTTCTCCCTCTCCCACTCCCCCTGCTTGTGTTCCCTCTCTCACTATCTCTCTCTCTGTCAAATAAATAAACAAAATCTTATTAATAAATAAATAAAATAAAATAAATAAATAAATAAAAATAAATAAAACAAAAGCCAACAAATCAACACAAACCCCAGAAACTTCCATGCTGTCAAAGTTCTATAAAAATTGAAAAAATAAGTGGCAAACAAAACAAATTTGAAAAATTATGAGGCTGCAAAGTGTTAATGAACTTTCTGTGTGAAGCGCCCTTATACTTGAATAACAAAATAACATCTAACCCCAAAGAGATGAAAAGATGTAAGTGGAAAAAGAGAAATAGAAAATTCATAAATGGACACATGAAAATGGCCAATAGACATATGAAAAGTATTCATTTTCCCTAGCTGTCAAATAAATGTTAAGTTATAACTATATATTTTATTTTCTGAATATCAAGTTATTATTTTCAGATTATACGGTGTGTGGAGGGTGGAAGGAAAGTGTGCATTTTCAAATACCGATAGGAAGAGCGTAAAGCGGAATCGTATCTCTAGAAAATCATTTGACAATTGTTAACCAAAGCTTTGAGGGTGTGAATTCCATGTGATGCTCTAAGTCCTCTTCTAGAAATTCCATGGAAATAATTATGACTTTGAAGAATGACATCTCTGCAGGGATTCTCATGCCTTTATTTTTGATAGGAGAAAAATTAGGAAAAAAAAACCTGCCCAAGTGTCTCATAATTGGAGATTGCTTGTAAAAAACAGGGTACCTTAGAAATGGGATTAATTTTTGTAATGATATCAGAGAAAGAGTATATGGAAAGATGTTGCGGTATAGTTTTTAAAAAGCAGTTACAAACCATAGTAAGGCCCTAAAATACATTTATGTTTTAAGGTAAAGAATGCAGACTCCGGGCGCCTGGGTGGCTCAGTTGGTTAAGCGACTGCCTTCGGCTCAGGTCATGATCCTGGAGTCCCGGGATCGAGTCCCACATCGGGCTCCCTGCTCAGCAGGAAGTCTGCTTCTCCCTCTGACCCTTTCCCCTCTCATGCTCTCTCTCTATCTCATTCTCTCTCTCAAATAAATAAATAAAATCTTTAAAAAAAAAAAAAAAGAATGCAGACTCCATTTTACATGTGTTTATTTACGAGTGATAGGATTACTCCTGACTTTATATTCTTCTTATTTGGGGTCCATACTTACTAAATTCCCTTTGAACTATTTTGTAAGACAGGACCAATAACCACTGAGCAGAAGATGGAGAAGAGACCATGAGGAGAATGGTGGTGGGGGAGAGGACGTAAGAGAAGGCAATGAGCAGAGCTCACTTGGTTAAAACAGCAACCACAAACCCCAGAGACTGCAAATACTTGTATATATTCCTTTATGTGACACTTGACAGGCGTCACTGTGTTCGTTCTGTGGGCAAAGAGCTAGAGCTCCAGAGAAAGCAGTTTTCTTGACCAGTAAATGACAGGACTTACTCTCCACCTCTCTTCCGATGGTTCCAAGATCAGGGCTCCCTATTTTTGGTGGGGACGGGATGAAAAGAAAAATGAGAAGAAAGCTCACTTAGAAATTATGATTTGATGGCCTAGATAGGACTGTTTTGTGCAACATTATTTCCTCCCAGCCCTAACCAGGAGGCATTCTTAAGTTCCTGTTGGAATATTCCTTACAAAGCAATGACCATGTTCCAGGTGCTATTCTAAGTACAGTACAAGTATTGAAGCATTGAATCCTCAGAGCAGCCCAAAGAAGTAGTACTATAGTAAGCCCCTTTGACACATGGGAAACTGAGGCACCCAGCAGATGAATAACTTGCCCAGGATCACACAACTCATACGACAGAAACAAGATTCAGGCCTAGGCAGTCTGGTTCCAGAATCTTCACTCCTAACCACCTTGTGCTGCTTTCCATTTCCAGAAAATCCCATACAAAGTCATGACGGGAAGCCCATTATTCTGTCAGTTACAATCCCCTAAAAGTAATTGATTTATTGCTTTAGGTGCATACAAAGCAGGTCCCCCAGGAGAGTGGGATACATCATCGGTTTTGGGACAGGGTTAAACAGTTAAGAATGCAGAGGGGTGATGACACCGAGAACACAGAGGAACTGGCAATGAAAGGTCACACAATGCCCTCGAGAATCTAAGATCCTGGATCAGGTTCTTGTGAGGGCAGTGACATCACAGTTTATATCCAGATTTATGGTAGAAACCTCCTTTAAGGATTTCAACATTCCTAAGGTTTTCTTCTATGGCCCAATTGCCATGGATGGATGGATGGTCTATTTAATATTTAGATTAACCCTGAAAGCTGATGGTGATCAGCTCATGACAAGGAGTACTCCTTGGTTGGTATGTTTTAGTTGTGGGATGGATAGGTTACTTGGAAGGAAAGAAAGCATGCATGCCTGGAGCAGGTGCTGTTGGTGCTTGGGATATATCCCCCTGTTCTTTATCATTCCTATCAGAACCTGCAACTTTTTGCCTGACATTTTCTCTGGCAACAGGGGCAGATGGATAGGAAGGTTGGGCGCTTCCTGCCCATTAATACACCCTTCATTGACTGCCTTCCCGTCCCTATCTCACTTTTAAACTCACCTTGTGAATATTTCCAAATACAAGACTTGTACTCATATCTTTGTCTCATTGCTGGCTTCTGGAAGAACGCAAACCAAGGTGAGGACCACTCAAATTCCCAGGGAATGGTCAGGCTTGAATAATTAGAATGGGCGTCCAGAAAGTTGTGGAAGTTGCCACAGTACCACAATCTTGGCTTCTCAACTGGCTCTCCAGACTTCACAGAACCCTGCTTCAAGGGTCTTTGGACTTTCTTTTCACCACTTCGGTGTGAACTGGGCCCGAGAAGAGAGCTCTGTTTTCTTACTCAGCTTTGTAGTTGAAGAGTGACCGATGGAGCTACTCTTTCTTCATTTTCAAAATGGCAGTGAATATAAGATTGCCAAATAAAACACAGGGAGCTAGTTACATGTGAATTTCAGATAAACAACAAATCCTTTGTAGCTGGGTCATCCTATATGTTTATTTGCCGTATCTGGCAACCTTAATTGAATAAGAGCCCTTACTTCTGGGGGGGTCCTTTGAGAATCACATGAGAATAATGCTGGGAAAAGCTTCCCAAAATGGGGTGCACTTTTTATTTGCCCCTCAGGGTCCCCAAAATCTCTTCCACATATTAAAAAACTGCTTTCAGAAAAGTACACTCCATTCACACTTTGATGGGAGTGAAAGTCGCCCTTTTTACTTTGCTGAAGATATTTTTGCTTTAAGCTTTATGCAGGAACCTCAAAAATGGCTCTGAGGGTCAGACTGGTAACATAAATATCCAAAGAGGGATGAAGTTAGGAAAACAACAATGCAGGATCAGTGGTGGAGACGGTCGTGGTGGAGATTGCAGGTTCCACGGACGGGGGCAGCCGCATTTCAGTGCTAGCTAACTAAGGCCCCAAGGGAATGAGGATGTGGGGTTGCCAAATCTTCCAACATTTCAAGAGAAGCCAGAAACCTTGATTTTTATGTGTAATCTCCTGGTTTTTAAATGTTGGCAAATAAATCAAAAATTCTCTAAAACACTGTTTGGGGCAATAATGTGTGGGCCAAAGCAAATACTTTTGTGGGCTACGAGTGTCCCCTGGGCTGTCAGGCTGGGACACCTGATTTATGTGGAAATTCACCACTAACTAGTTGCACTTCTGTG